GGGTACTTGGCCCCCCCCCCCCAACGTCTCTTGTCGAATCCCATAATGTCAAATAGTCAACGCATGCTCACATGGTTCCAGGTACAACACTAATCGTCATGTCAATGCTATTGGCCGGCAACGTCCGAGCCACGACAGTCCCGTAGGACCAACAATCAACGCGACCATTGATATGCGTGGGCAAACCGGTAACCCGTTGGACGGATTTGTAATACAAGAAGGGGCTGTTCCACAGGCCCTCTCTCGGCTCATGCAAACCATTGTTGATGTGCAACCTTGTGGCGGCAAGCCGAGAAAGAGAATTGTACAGCGGACCAGAAAGGCACTTGCGAGATGGAAAAGCCGATTGCTCGGTCCGTACACCCGTGGCGGTGCTATACAAAACACGCAAATATTCTTGATCATGTCTCACGACGGTGAGTTGCTGCTTACCGTGGAATGTGGCCGGAGAGTGTATTGATAATCAACAATAGGCAGTCAAGCATCACTACGACTCGAAGACGACAAGCCGGTACTCGAGTTTGTCGGAGTCGGCCATAGTGATCGAGTCAAGCGGCTTCATGCCCTACTGGCAAAGGCAACAGAGTCGGTTGGGGGAAGAGTGATAGATAATCCTTTCCACGGTGTATTTGGCGATCAACACCAGATAACAGCTCATCCTCTTGGGTAAGTCGGCCCGATATAGCCATGTTGCACTTGCTAACGCGGACTTTTAGTGGCGCTCAGATGTCTCGAGATAATACCGGCGCTCGTGGGGTTACAAACCACGCTGGGGAAGTATTTGCCGGAAGTGCCACTTCTGAGACTCATTCTGGTCTTGTTGTCGTGGATGGCGCGGTTGTTCCAGGAGCACTATGTGTGAATCCAGCGGCAACAATTGCAGCTCTGGCCGAGCGAGCCGTTGAGTATTACACGCAGGCACATGGCCTGGTTATTAACAGAGAACCAAACGGCGTGCTTGACTTGTACGGCACACCAGCCCACCGCCCTCGACCAAGTCCATCGTATGAGTCTGGCCCCAAAAAATCAAACTCCATGTCAAGAGCAATGCAGACAGAGCTCACGCAATGCACGATCCGGCGCGTTGACCCGGTGCGATACGCTGCCCCTGATACTGTCGCGTTTACAGAGCTCATGAGCGGCTTTGTGCATAGCGGTCACAATTTGCGGCTACATGACAAGGACAGCCACAAATTATCGTCTCAGGCGGCAAGGAGCCGGAGCGAGACGGCACGGCTGCTCACAAGTAATGTCATGTATGCGGTACCATCGCCCGAATGCCCCAGCGAGAGCCGGTTGTACAAAGGTATTGTCAAAGGTACCTTCGTATGCCCTACTATCAAGGGTTCACCATTCATGATATCGCAAGGCAAAGTGGAGCTTCTTCGACAAGACAATGAACTGTCAGGGACAACCACGGTTATATATCAGTTTGAAATGATGGGCATTAACGGGCGACGTCTTGATTTTCACGGATACAAGAGAATTGACTCGTCTGCATCCATGGACATGAGAGAGTTGTGGAAGTCGACAACTACGCTATACGTTACTATCACCGAGGCTGAAAAAGAGAGCCTCACGTCAGGGGGGAGTCACAGACCAGGCGGCACGTTTCCAATTTCGCATAATTCTAGCCATTATAATCTTTTGATTGGGCCGGACAAAGCTACCAAAATGATTGCCGCAGGAATTTTGAAAATTCGATTGAGCGACTTTCGAAAGCAACTTTTCACACTGACACCAACGGGCAAGAATCTGCTGAAAAGAGCAGCAACCCTTGGCTGTTTTACAAACTACTTTTCTGGGAAACTTCTGCCTCACTTTTTCTTACCGTTTGCTCCACTGCGGTATGCCACCAGGTCGCACCCTGATTTCATTAACCCGACCACGCCGACCCGAACGTACACGGTTACCGCGAGCGACGGGGTACAAACAAAACTACACATGTGGGAGCCAGATCTCGACTTCGTTCCCGGCGATGAATTTGGAAGCCCGGTGCCGGTCAAAAATCTATTCATGATTCCCGGAGCAGCAGTCGACCATCAGATATATGCTTTGCCGACGATCCCTCTCAACGCAGTCAACTATTTCACCCGAGCCGGTTATCGGGTCTTTGTCACGGTGCACCGAATTGGTATCGTGGACAACCCTGAAGATAAGAAATGGACCACGTATGATGCCAGGCTCGACATCAAGGCATGCCTTGAACACATTCGAGCGTCTCAGAATACAGACAAGGTATATACAATTGCACATTGCATGGGGTCTGTCGCCTTTGCGTGCGGTTTACTAGACGGCACCATTCCCTCCGAGTGGATTCTTGGAATCACATGCAGCCAAGTATTCATGAACCCGATCTGGAGCAGGTCCAACAAGTTCAAGTCGTCCGTCAAGTTGGACAAGGCATACACCCGCCTGGCCGGCCACTGGTTCAACTGCAGAGCGTCGACCAAGCAAGGGGCTTTGCAGGGCGCAGTAAACCAGCTCCTGCGGTTTTTGCCAGATAAAAAGGGCGAGAAATGCAACAACGCGTCTTGCCACCGCATAAGCCTGCTGTTTGGTCGGTGCTGGAGTCACTACAACTTGAACGAGGCAACCCATCGACACATGGATCGCTTCTTCAACGGTGCAAACATGACGCTCATGCCGTTGCTGATGCGCATGGGCCGCTTTGGAGCCGTGTCAACAAATGGCCCGGCTTACGAGGATCTCACCAGCGCAGACAATGTAGAGCGCCTAAGGGGTATTCCGTTCTTCTTCTTCTCAGGAGGAGACAGCGACGTTCTCTCGCCCATGGCCACGCAGAAGACTTACGAGCGACTGTGCAACACGTTTGGTGTTTCGGCTGGTAGAGATGGCGGAGGGATACAGTACCGTAGGAAGGTTATACCGGGATATGGACATCTGGATGGCTGGATGGGACGTAACGCGTGGAGGGATGTATATCCTATGGTCCGCGAGGAGGTAGATCGCGTGGTTAGGGGTGAAGGGTATGAGTTCCGGGAGGCTGCTAATCCTTTCAGTGATGCTTATGGAGTTTTATGAAGCTGATGAACGGTAACTTGTGGACATGGGGAATTCGGGCGCATTTGAACGATTCGCTGCTTTGTTAGGGCCGGTCTGGGTTAGCAACAGATTGCCAATTCGAGCCTTTTATACAGAATTGATTACTCTCCGAATGCGCCAGCGCCGCTGAAAAGTTATTTTATTTCATTCTCGACACAAGAATTCTTAATAGAGAACATGTGAACTTGTAGAGATGTGAGAGGTAATTTCTTTTTTTTATGGTTACTAATGTAAGCTATCGTCAGCATGCAGTTTTATAAATTTAGTTAGACTCTGCAGCGACCTCGGCGGTAGACTTTTGTTGACTACGAGGTGAGCTCCAGAGAAATGGCAACGCGGCCTAAGCAAAGTCTGCTGCTACTACTTATTGTTGCCCGTGGCGACTCCCCAAAAATATGCCGCCCAAGCACCCAATATCATGAGAATCACTGCTCCGAAACAAGTCATGCTTACTCTGCCATTTCTCTCCGCATATTCATTGTTTTCAAAGTCCTCTTTTCTCTTGTTTATCAAGTGTCCCTTTGTCAACCGTTGCTTTCTCGTCCATTGCAGTCGACCGAGAATAATATCAAAGTAGGCCCAAACGAGCATGATGAGCCCGACAACTACGGAGCCTGCTGACAAGAATACGTAGACAATGACGACTCTGTCATAGCTATTGTGGTCTTGATCCTGAATAACACCCGTGAGAACCCTGATTATGATGTTCATGCTGTTGTTGATGGCGTTCTTGATGGCGTAACCCGACCCGAAAACTTCCTGGTAGAACATGGTTGTCCGTATGCTGTCAATGATGACTGTTGGGCCCAATGACGAGGCAAAGGCATATACACCAAAACTAGCCGCTGTTCCCGTGACAGTCGGACCCCATGCTGCCAGGCACATGGACAGCAGCATGCCAGCGCCGCAAACCGTCATGATGGTAACTCGGTGGCCAAAGACGTCGATGAAGACACCCAACACGGGGACCAAGAAGAAGCCAAGATACTGAGACATGGCCGAGTACCATCCCGCCGTTTCGGCCGACACTTTGAACCGCTGCTCAGCGAGTTCGGTAGCATTCTGGGTAAATACAGACGCCGTCGATGTCTGGAACAGAGTGAATGCAGCAACTAGCCAAAAGGGCCAAGGCAGCCGCAGCATCTTGGACCACTCAAACTTTTTATTGCGCTCGGTTAGCCTCTCTCCCGTTGCAGGATCCTTCGTCCCGGCATAGTGCCTCTCACACCAGCGGGTAAACTGCCAAAATACAAGGGTTGCGGCATTGGTAAACAGGTTCATGAAAACCGCGCACCAATACACCCACTTGAAGTCTCCCGTCTTGACGGCAATCACGTTCGCCGTGGCTTTTCCCACAAACCCACCAATCTTGCCCAGCCCGAGCTCAAAACCCAGCGTGGAAGCGAATCCATTCGATGGTGCGAACCAGGAGGAGAAGACTTTGTACTGGGCCACCTGGGTAGCAATGTCTCCCAAGGCCTGGACAATGACGCCGAAAATCATGAATTTATAGCTGCGAACGGTTGTAGCGGCAGCTATCAAGATTGCGCCGACGCTGTAGATGGCATTTCCCCAAAGCATTGCACCTACACGCGTTAGACGAAGAAATTTGTATCAACCTCTTGAGTAGACTTACTTGCGCCGCCGATGCGGTCCGTCACAACGCCACTCACGAGAATCAGAGCAGTCTTCATTAAATCTTCGCTTGCTTCCAAAACAGCATATTGGGCGTTGTTGATATGCAGTTTCTTGGCTTCTCTTAGCACAGCCTACAGCTCGGCTTTCCTCACGGCCGTCCAACGTACCTTCTTAATGGTGCTCTTCATGGCTCCGGTGACGCCGCTGCTCCAGTGCGATCCGAATCCAATCAGACTGACGAGCACGACGGCCAAAATCTTGATCCGCCATGGGATTGTCTTGTCTTTGCTCGACACACTTGTTCGCTCATCACTGTTCACCAAGACCTCGTTTGCCGTGGCACCTGCTTCCTTCTTCGGATCCATGGTTTCAAGCCCACTAGCAAAGTCTTGAATAGATGGAGGACGAGGAGAGCAAGGAAAAAGCAGTTTGCCGGATGGCGCTTTTATTATCAGATTGATAAGATAGGGTGGATCAGCCGTACTAGCAAGGTTAATTTAGCCGCTGGGTCGAGAAGGTCTCCGACTCCAGCGCTCGATGATTTCCAGGACAGGGATGTGAGCAAGGTTTTTCCACGTGGAACAGAATTTGGTCGGTATGCCAATGTTGATTGGCCTTGTTTGCCCCGGCGCGCCGCGGAGTGGACGGCCGGGCGAAGGGAAAAATCGCTCAAGTCCACTTTGGCTGTGTGAGGGAGATGCGATGGGCTCGAAATACCCTTTCTCGGCCCCTTGCATGGGCTTTGTGTTACTGATTTAGTCGTAATGCCAATGGTGAGCCTACGTAATTAAGTCACATGTGCACTCTTCTCTTTCACACGCGCTAGCCGCGTCGACTTTTATACTCGGCTTAATACTTTTTTTTATGCTGAGATTGTCGGACAACGTCCGGATATCTCTGGCGCCACGAATCAAGGTCAACTATGTACATAATGTAGTCGGTGGATAATTCATCCTGACTCAATCATTGTGAACCAACAAGGCTTTGCTTTTGGTCACGCCTCGGCTAATGGGTTTCCAGCGAATCGTCATCCACATGAGGAACTCCTAGCTCGTTCAAGTCCTGGCACCAGCTTGCTGCTGAGTCTTTTTCGATATGAATCCGTTGTGGCTGCACTAGAGATGTCGAAGTGGTGAAGATGTGCAACGGTTCTTGCGTATACTTGGGACGTCCTCGTCTGGACCACTGCGCATTTATACCATGGTACACCAGCGTGCCACGCCGGGGGGGGGATAATAAATATACTTTGTTCATCCTCAATGTATTCTCTTGACTGAATGCTGTGAATAAACATCCAAGTACCCGCTGTGCGTAGCAATGCTTCATCTATGGCTCGAACGGTCCGTTGGAATCGGCCCTTGACCGAGTCTGTCCGCTACGTAATGGCGGTCTGTTTTTACTTGATTAACGAGCTTATGGATCCAAATTTTAAGACTTTAGGTAACTAGCTAGAGTCTTAAAATTGAGATCGTTAGATTAGCTGAAGCTGAAAAGTTTGGATGACCTAATCAATAACCGAGGCGGCCTTGACAAGAAAGGCTATGGTGCCTGCCATCGAATTCATAAAGTGTTTGATCCCAACCGATAGGTCTCATTCACATAGCATCATAGACCTGAAGATAAGGGTTAGTTTGGATATTAGATGAGACTTCTCAAGTTTTATAAATTACAAGCTGCTCTGAATCGCGAGAATAAAGGTACAATAAACTAATTAGAATTATAAAGCGCGCTAATATGCAACAGTAAATTCTTTTTTTTTTTCGTAAAAAAAAAGCTACTACCTGCTTCTAAAATAACAAATAGAGATGTGTTCCCATAGTCCAGCATTCATACTCATTTAATATCTTGATAATCATGCACAACCCTAACCCTCAGGTACTGTCGGTGCGACTGCCCAGGCTTGGTAACATGATAGGTGAAAGATAACCACAACACCTATCTGCAGCACTCATATCCAAGATAGCTTTGGGTTCGACTACCAAAAGCACAAGCGGCCAGTCAGGCAGCGGAATCGGATGTATATTTGTCTCAACAGCCTAACGCTCGAGTTGGATATCGGGTGTTAATAACTAGGGTCCTATAACGATCTAACATAGAGGCCCATGAAAATGAAAAGGCAGGCAGAGGAATTCAAGGAGCATGTAAAGCGTACACGATATCACCGTAGATCGTGCGCGTTTACGTGGAGTTCAACCAACTCGACGCATTTTAACTTCAAACTAAGGCCATTTAGCGGGGACTCATTCGTTGATCTCTTGGGGAAATCTGAAAGAAACGTATTCTCAGTTTCTCCATGGGTAATCAAAGGACCTACCCTTTTTTTTTTGACTTATTATTTTCGATGGTCATCTTGCGAATAGTCGCATTAAGCGTCCTGTTCCATGTTATTTTACAAGAATATGAAACATCAACAGTTTAACCAGAGACATAACTTGAAAGAGCAGACTTAGGAACATGATGGCTTAATTAGACCTGATCGAAATTTACCTTCAAACAACATGATCATTTGCCAGAGAGCCAAAAGGGGACACTTGTAAGCCGGGTATTGCGACAAGGGCTTAGTAAAGGGCTTGAGGTCAACAACTCAGTTGATCCAATAAGAGCATTTGGTGCAAAGGTCATCAGTTTTCCTCAAGGCCTAGGCGACGAAAGAGCTCTATTTATATAAGAAGTCGCTGACAGCCTTGTGCCCCACGTCTCGTAATCATAGCTCTTGTGTAACCGTGTAGCCCGTGTAACATTGGGAATATTCAGCTGCCCCATTTCCGGCGTATCAAGTAGTAGCTATCGCGTTGAGGTCATAAAGCAGATCGAGAGCCAAGAGCGCATACTTGTAAGCTGGGACATTCGGCCAAGGGCCACTAACTACCTAGGTACCTAGGTATTTATGGGTCTTTTTGTTAGGGCCCACACAATCACGTGTGAGGCACCATATTGCTGTTGCTACGCTGGCACTCTCTAGCTAGCCTTTTTCCTCTGATACATGATCAAGCTCTTCACTTCTTTTAGCTCTCTTGCAATACAACTTGTCGGTTGCATCACGAGCTCTTGTGACCTCGCTGTAGCTCTCTTCCGCGGTCCCTGACACTTTTTGCTCCATGGCCTAGTGATTAGACCGATAACCACTCTGACATGTCGGAACGAGGGCGTCAGATAGATTTGGACAGGAAAAGTCCTTACAAAGTGATATTCCCCATCATTTCACTTTCTAGCATCCCGCAGCGATGACGCGATCTGTCAGATGCCTCGTACCTTGTCAGTATTGGAGCCCGCACAGGGCTCTTGCTCGTCCAGGCCTGTACTTGCGCAAATGCAGAGTCTCTAAAAAGTACCCGAATCTCGAGAGGAAGCACGAGTGGCCGTATTCCTTCTAGCAACACATGAATGTCCTCGTTTTGTCGGACGAGGACGGCAAGATAATATACGAGCCGAAACATACTCTTCAGTCACCGACTCACATACACCCCGTCAAAAATCTTTCACGGTTGCGATTGAGCACTGCCTCGAGCACTAATTTCATCCCTTCACGGTGTCAATCCTGCTCTCTCCCACGTTTTGACAGCTGTTTGATAACGGCAGCAGGATCCGAGACGGTGGCAAATCCACAAAATTATTATGAGCGCCCTGCACGAGTGCTACACTGGTTGCAAGCTCGTGATATTGCCGTGTTCTTGCTGTCGAGGCCGTCGATTGTGTCTTTCTGTATTGCAGACTTTTCTCATAAAAATGATATGGCTTAGGGGGCGCATCCTCCATGCACGGGCGTAAGCATGCATCATCAGCCCAGAACCACAGTCTCGTGTCAAGGTACAGAACACGACGGAAATGGTGCTCACGTGGTCAGTAACTTGGCATTTGACAATCAAGGAAGGGCTCTACTTTCCATTAAACTTTAGTCTATGCTACCGGGTCTGAGCCGATCCGCTCACTAGTGCGTCATACTTCCAAACCAAGAAATTTGAATTCCTTGGCGGCCATCACAAAGCCTCAGTGATTTTAGCCTTCGCATTCTTTCTATGAGTGTAAAACATTCATCCTAAAGATCCGGAACAACTTGTTGACTGGGCTGCTAGCTTGTCCGTCGCCAACTTAATATGGCACCTGGGTGAATTGGAAATATCCTACCATATGGCGAGGCCTACAAGAAGCGAGATTTCATCCTGCCAAGGAGATATTCTCACAACGCTGAATACGGAAAAAGTTCCCCAAAGTTGTCCTCCATCCGTCACGCTCGTACGTGTGGCTTTTGGATTCGTCAAAGGCATGCCACGGTTGGTTTTGGCACAGTTGGAGCAACGGATCGAGTTTAAATACTAGGTGAAGATGTAGAGTATAATATTATGATTTCACAAATACAACGAGTGTTTTGTATGCCACTCAGCTCCAATACAAGCCAGCAGGGGAATTTCTTTAGCCAAAGCCTATACACTTAGACGCGGCATCGGTGCCACGCCAACTGCCCATGGCGTCACATCTCCATGTCCAACATACGTTGGAAGCTTGAGGCTAGCGTAGTTAACTTTGAAAGTATTTTCACCGCATATTATTTTCATCTTGCCAAGGAAACTTGAGGCCTTGTCTCTTGCATCTAAATGTATAAGATCCGGCATGCCACGAATTACACTCGTTTCTTAGACACTGACGCGACTCGTACTTGATCTTGGTTTCTTGGAAATTACTCAAACCTGAGCCTCCCAGTTGACGACGACAACAGCCCCATGATGGGATTGAAAGAGCGCTTCGTGACCTTGACTAGGTCGTGGTCCGCTGCCGACGAAGATGGCACAGAAGCTCCCGCCTCTCCGCCCAGAAACGAGCTGCGCTTCCGAAAACAACACAGGTGGGATCCGTTCCTTGACAACGAGAGGCTCGAAAGCAGCGCCGATGGTGGCGAGAGTGCTCCGGCCGTCGACGAAGCGATCCAAGATGACTCGCCGTATCCCGAAGTTCGCGCTTCGGTAAGTTGCAATCCAGCACAAACATTTCCGCGAGTCTCGTCAACAAACTCACCCCAGCCCGTGTTGTAGGTTCCCCCTACCGACGATCCCGACATGCCCGTCAACACGATCCGCGCCTGGTTCCTGGGAGTCATTCTCTGCACCATCATCGCGGCGTGCAACGTCCTCCTGTCCCTCCGCCGCCAGTCGACATCCATTTCTCCCACAGTCGTCCAACTAGTTGCGTACCCGTAAGTGCAAAGCCATCAGCCCCCGTTGACGAGGAGCAAAAGCTGACAGCAAGTCCGTGGCAAAGAATGGGCGTCGGCCTGGCCAAAATCCTGCCCACGACCGTGTACAGAGTCTTCAGCCACGAGTTCACCCTCAACCCCGGCCCGTTCAACGTCAAGGAGCACACCATTGTCACCATGATGACGGCAGCCGGCTCATCCGTCAGCTACGCCGTCGAGATTCTCCTCGCGCAGGAGGTCTTCTACGACCAACACTTCAAATGGGGATTCCAGCTGCTGCTGATAGTGTCCACGCAGGCCATGGGCTTTGGGGTTGCCGGCATCGCGCGGCGGTTCCTCGTCTGGCCGTCCGCCATGGTATGGCCAGCCAACCTGGTGACCTGCACCGTCATGCATGCCCTGCACACGCATGTGCCCGCCGACCCGGCAGTCACCAGCGGCTGGAAGATTGGCCGCTACAAATTCTTCCTGATTGTTGCGCTGGCCTGTTTTGCCTGGACCTGGGTCCCCCAGGTTTTCGCCCAGTTCCTGCAGTACTTTGCGTTTGCGTGCTGGATCGCCCCCAAGAACGTGGTTGTCAACCAAGCCTTTGGTGCCTTTACCGGCCTCGGAATCATGCCCATCACCTTCGACTGGCTCACCGTCTCGTCGTGGCTGGACAGCCCCCTCGAGTCCCCTGCCTTTGCCATCTTCAACGTTGCGTTTGGTCTTCTCGTTTGCCTGGTCGGGGCCGCTGGCCTCGTCTGGGCCGGCCCGGATTACTACAGATATCTTCCTATTTCGTGAGTGTTCCCCCCCACGGAGGACTCCTGGAGCCGCAGACGCGTTGAAGCTGACTTGTTTGTCATCAGTGCCAACAGCAACTTTGACCGTTATGCCAGCGTGTACAACACCAGTCTCATCTTGAACGCCAACTTTACCATCAACGAGGCGGCCTATCATGAGTATTCGCCGATTCTCCTCGGAGCAAACTTTTCTCTCTCGTACGGTATGGGCTTCGCCGGCCTCGTCTCAACCATTGTCCATGTCATGGTTTTCTACGGCGGCGACATCTGGAGCCGTGTCAAGGATCCCCAGTATGACGAACCTGACATTCATCTCAAGCTCATGAGAAAATACAAGGAGGCGCCGCAATGGTGGTTCGCCGCCGTCTTCTCCATATCTTTTGCCTTTGGCATGATTGCCTCGCAGGCCTGGCAGACGCATTTGCCATGGTGGGCCTACATTGTCTGCATCATCATCGGCGCCGCCCTCTTCATCCCCATTGGCATGGTGCAGGCCATTACCAACCAACAGACCGGCCTCAACGTCGTCACAGAGATGATCTTTGGGTACATGTGAGTTTCCGGCCAAGCCCCTTGTTTTACTTGAGAGCACACCAACTCACACGCCTGCAGGCTGCCCGGCCGCCCCGTTGCCATGATGCTCTTCAAGTCGTGGGGCTACATGCTGTCAGCCAACGGCCTCAACTACATTTCCGACATGAAAATCGGCCACTACATGAAGGTGCCTCCCCGGAGCATGTTCGCCGCCCAGGCCTTTGCCGTCGTCTGGCTTGCCCTCGTGCAAACCTGCACGTACAACTTCCTGCTCGGCAACATCAAGGGCATCTGCACCGAGGACCAAGCCCAGGGCCTGACGTGCCCCAACGCGCGCACCTTTTACAACTCCAGCGTCATTTGGGGCGTCATTGGTCCCAAGCGCGTCTTTGGCCTGGGCGGCATCTACTCCTGGATCAACTGGTTCTGGCTCATCGGCGCCGCCCTGCCCGTCATCCAGTACCTCGTTGCTCGCAGATATCCCCGCAGCTTTGTGCGATTCATCGTCTGGCCGGCCGTCTTCAGTGCCAGTAGCATCGTCCCCCCTGCCACTCTCTACTTCCTTACCCCCTGGGTCATTGTCGGTCTCTTTTTCAACTGGTACATTCGACGCCGATACTTTGGCTGGTGGACGCAGTACACCTACGTTCTCTCCGGTGCGCTCGACATTGGCTCGCGCATCTGTGCCGTCATAATTGCCCTTGCGCTTGGCTTGGGCAACGTCCCTGACCTGGAGTGGTGGGGTAACTCGGTTCCTTTTGACACTTTGGACTTCGAAGGAACGGCCGTGACCAAGGCGTTTGTCAAGAATGTGACGAAGCCTCTGGGTCCTTCTATTTGGTAGATGTCGCCGCGGGGGGTCAATGGGTGATGCTTCGCAACCACGCCGGATTGAAGGCCAGTTGTAATATAATAGCGTGTTATAGAAAATATGGTGGTCTTCGGCATGTTTGTCAGGGCCTGCCCTGAAAAGTAATTTAGTTCAGTCAAAATTTTGCCTTGTTCGCTGAAGTCAATTTTAAATTTGTCAAGACCAAAAGACATCCAAAGGATGTACTCTGAGAAAACTTGGTAAGAAAGACGAACAGTTCGCCATATGCCAAATCCATTTTATTTATTGTCAATCGAGACCGTGCAGCCCAAACGCCAATGCAACACACACAACTCAAAATATATCCTGCCCGCTGTGTCATCATGATCAGAAACCTACCATTGTCTCGTGCCACTTTTCCATCTCCAGGGACTATACATCACCTTCTTCCACGGCCACTGCCGCCAGGCATACCGGGCATACCAGGCATTCCACCTCCCATCCCCATCTGCCTCATCATCGCCTGCATATCCATACCGCCAGGCATGCCGCCTCCTCCACCAAGCATCTTCATCAGCGATCCCATGTCAGGCATACCGCCTGCGCCGCCCGCGCCGCCCATGCTCTGGAGTCGCTTCTGCATTGCGGCCATCTGCTGGGCTTTGTTGCCGCCCCCCATGGCTTGCTGCGCGCGCTGCATGTTCTTCATGTTGCCGCCCATCTTCTTGGCCATGCCGGCCATCATGCGCTGCTGCGTAAGCAGATCTTCCACTTCGCGTACAGACGTTCCTGAGCCGCGAGCTATTCTGGTCATTCGCGTGGGTTGCTCAATGAGAATCTTGCCATCCGAGTCGAGTTCCTTGTCCGTCATGGAGTCGCAAATGTAAATCATGCGCTTGAGCTTGGCGCTGCCCTCTTCGTCGTCCATCCCCTGCATCATATTGCTCATGCCAGGGATCATGCCAGCCATTTTGGACAAGGGTCCCATCTTCATAATATTGGACAGCTGGTCACGGAGATCGCGGACCGTGAAGATGCCTTCCTGTATGTGCTTGATGGTGTCCTTTTGGTTGAGGTTTAGCGACTGGACGTGCTCTACTAGACCGGCCATGTCGCCCATGCCCAGCAGTTTCTGCACGAACTGCTGCGGGGCGAAGCGCTCCAAGTCCAGCATGTGTTCACCGGTGCCGATGAACACAATGGGTGTGTGTGTTGCCGCCACGGCTGAAATGGCACCACCACCATGGGCATGGCCGTCCGTCTTGGTGATGATGATGGCTCCGAAATCAGCCGCCTCCTTGAACGCCTTGGCCTGCGACTCTGCCTGCTGACCGATCGAAGCGTCGAGAACCATGATGGTTTCGTCGGGGCGAATCGCCGTCTGGATATCAATCATTTCCTGGAACAGTGCCGACTCCTGACGATGTCTACCCGAGGTATCAACAATAATCACATCAAACTTCTCCTTCTTGAACTGGTCCACTCCCGCGCGCGCCACGGCCGCGGGATCCGTTTCCGTGAGGGAACCGTAGTATGGAATCTTGGCCTTTGTCGCATTCTGCTTTAGCTGGTCAAACGCACCAGCTCGGAAAGTATCCGCGCACACCAGACACGCCCGGAACCCCCTCGTTTGATAGTGTCGCGCAAGCTTGGTACACGTCGTTGTTTTACCGGCACCCTGAAGACCAACAAACATAATAACATTTGGCTTGCCCTTTTTTGGCTTGAACGGCTCGGCGTGCGGGTCGACTAATTGGACGAGTTCGTCGAAGACGGCTTTTTGGATCAGGCGTTTCTTGTTGACGGCGGGCGGGAGGTCTTTGAAGTTGACTGTGCTTTTGATAGATTTTCGAAGCTGCATGACGAGTTTCACATTGACGTCGGCTTCGAGCAGGGCGGAGCAGATCTCTTTCAGCATGTTGTCGAAGGCCTAAACTCGGTCGACAGTTAGATCAGCATAATTCACTGTTGCGCCTCCATCTGAAGAGGCTTGTGCGCGGCTCACCTTCTCATCGAGATTCTGGTCCCTCGTTAGGTTGGTGACCGCCGCATTGATGCGGCGGCCGAGATCTTGAAGAACCATGGCGGCAAGAGTGTCGAGACCACTTGAGAGTTGTCGTCGTGGCAATGTTGAACCACGTAGCAGCTACGTAGATGTGTGGAGGCGGGGCATTTCGGTGGGTTGTCGGCAAAAGCATCAATAATTTCCCGGCGGGTAGTGGCAGCTACCCTGGAGCCCGCGCCATTTTTGACTGACCATGTTTGCGAGTATATCAGGAAAGAATGGAATGAATAGTGATTATATACGCGTAAATATGCACTAGAACTTGGCTATCTTTTCTATTTACTCGTTTTCAAAGCCACGTTGCAAAACAATCAGAATGCTGCCGATTGCCCCCGGGAACGGGTCTATTTGAGCGATACACGAACACGCCGTTTGCCTTTTGGGCGGTAGTAGTGGGCGTACTATACAGAGGTGAAGCTCACCAAAGACACAGACCGGATGGTAGCAGTGGCTGGTATTACGGATCTCTTTCGCCCCTCCTTTGGAGAACATTGGTTGGGCATGTGGCGTGTCTTCATGCCGCTGGAACTGCTGTGGAAAATCTCAAATACGTACTCTCAACGGCCACCAACGGCGCGAGCTGGTCATGGCTGTCTCGAGGGAGCAGTGTCGTACGTCAACTGCACGTTCAAGTATCGCCGAGGCATCCTATACATGGACTTGATCGGCGTAGAGCCTGGAAGTGAATACAGCAGGCGGCTTCGCCTATCGGCGCCTCTATTGCGAGCCAAGTGGTACGGCCGGGCGTGAAAGCGAGAATGGTGTTTTCTGTCCAAGATTGAGGGAGAGACCAAGCGAATGTCGTACCGTGGGATACCGACGCCCCCTTAAGTTTATGGCGAGATTTACTTTGATCTCTGGGATGGCGGGCCGCCAGGCGACACCTTCTGCGTGAGTATCCAGCTAAACAAGGAGTACGACCATGGAAAGATGCTGGGACTAGTAGTGCGAGAGGCGGAGGACGGCATGTTTGAGCGGCTGGGGGTTTTCAAAGATGCTATATCGATGATTGAGCCTTTTTTTGGAATCATATTGTGTTTCCCGGAGGCAAATAGTCCTTGTTTAAGATCTGCTACGATGTGCCGAGGGGAATCTATTATCCTTCGTCGACTTTTACGCCAGCAATGCGCTACGGCATGGACATGATCGCCGGCAATGTTATAAGGAGCTTTGATATGATGTGACTGCGGGTCGCAGGATGCACCGCGTACCATGTCAAAGTGCAACCCCCCCTATACTACTCTCTCTGGTCCGGTCAGCGAGGACCTGTGGCCATGGTTCATCGAGAACCGACGCCGCCGGTGACCCGATCTGGCCCGCCAATCTTGACGTCAACTGTGACTCACATAACCACCCTTCTCCGATATTATCAGACACTTCCCAATAGTGATGTGGACTTGGACTTCAGACTTGTGAGACAATACAGATGCCCTGGTGGAGCTTTGTGCTTTGGCCTATCATCAGATAAACAAGAATTTTGAACGTCTTGTGTAGACTTTTGCTCTTACTGGCAATTCTGAAGCTAGTCATCAGTATTGTGAGAATCAGCTCATTGTTCCGGGAGCTAAATTACAGCCGGTATCGGCCTTGAGAAACACCAGCAATTATTACTATACACAAAACGTTTCAGAAGCCCTGTTGCCGCATCGTTCATGCTAGTACGGGCTTTAGAATCGACCCAATATTACGTCTAGTCGGTGTATACCATCTCTTCTGTATATGCGATATAATCGAGACGCCAAGCTCTTGTCTATCTTTTCGGTGTATACCATCTAGCCGGCATTTATCACCATGTCGGAGATATCGGAAGTTGTTGCGAATGTGTCACACGAAAAAATACCAAAAAACGGGCGTGGCCACGCCACGGTATTTTGTGTGTTATACACCCTTATATTCTCTGCGACACACCCCCTAGCTCCAGTAGACTCGTATAGCTAGAGCTATGCAAGCTTCAGATCCTAAATGGTACACGGTCGTGTGTAATAGGCATCTTACACCGCTACGGCTCACGCCACAGTATTTTGTGTGTATATAAGGGGGTATAACACACAAAATACTGTGGCGTGGCCACGCCCATTTTTCGTGTGACACCAGACTGTCACACGAAAAAATACCAAAAAACGGGCGTGGCCACGCCACGGTATTTTGTGTGTTATACACCCTTATATTCTCTGCGACACACCCCCTAGCTCCAGTAGACTCGTATAGCTAGAGCTATGCAAGCTTCAGATCCTCAATAATACACGGTCATGTGTAATAGGCATCTTACACCGCTACGGCTCAACTATCTCCATATCTAGGACGGATAGCAGCGTTATGTAGGGTTTTTACAACATCTGGGGTTCAAATGTGGCCTGTAATGGGGTTTAAACTCAGCAGGTTAGGGTCAAAGTAATTTTTAGGCAATCCGGAAGTTCCAGGGCTTAGCGTGCCCTCCCGGGCTCATACCTGTCACGCGAAAAAATACCAAAAAACGGGCGTGGCCACGCCACGGTATTTTGTGTGTTATACACCCTTAAGTGGGGTATCGAGCGCCCTTAAGGACTGCCCATGGCAACTTGAACATCTTTTGATTCATGTACATCTTTAAAAAACGACAAACCTAAAAAGCAGTTTGGTTAGTGAATCAACATCTCGCCAAGTTCACGCTTCTGCAATGGATTCAACCTCGGCTGCACCTTATACGCCTCCCCCGGAGAACGCCATGGCCGGCGTACCGGCTCACATCGTCGACTTGCTCAACAGACTTCACGCCGAGTCTTTGGACCAAGAGTCCAAAATCACCCGAAATGATTTCAAGGACCGCACAGTGCACGAGGTAATGCGCGACAAGTTCATCGCTCTTGACCTAGACAAGGCGCAATATGTGTACGCTCTGTGTCGCGCTACCGGGGCGAGAACCATTGTCGAGGCCGGCACCTCGTTTGGCGTTAGCACCATCTATCTCGCTCTCGCCGCTGCTGCCAAT